GATACAAAAGGCAACTGTCAACCAGCTCCACAGGCGGCCCCGTCCAGGAAACACACAGCCAGGCAGACGAGCTCCGAGCCAGCTCCCATGTCAGAGGTTGAAGAGAGCACATCCAGTTAGTCACAGTCAGAGAAACAGGACTACACTGGAAAACAGGCTTCATGATGCTTTTTTTATGCTAACATTCCATATGGAGTCCTATGAAAATATGCTGCTACAGATGAAATGTGACAAAAAGTTGAAAAGGCTCTGGCCAAGGCGATGGACTCTGTTTTCCCCAACATCATAGGTTCGGAAAGACATGAGAGGTTTTAGTACAGAGCTTACCAAAAACAGGCCTACCTTAGTGCACATGCAGAGATTTAAAGGTGTGTCTGGATGCAAAGGTAAACCTCGAAAACTATCAAGGACTATTAGTGTTTGTTTGGTTGATCATGATCAGGGTTGCAAAATATTAGGAAAACATATTATTTCCAAAGCTATTGCTGAGCTTTGCAGTTAAAAAATTATAGCAATTAACTTGAACTTGCTGTCAGCTTTAGAATCACGAGCACCAGAAAACAGCCACTGTTATTGTAGGTATGAAGGGAAATGGAAATGTGCCCAACGGGGCAAAGGTATTTTTGGTGTTAAAAATTCACATCCATGGTATTTAACATGTCAAGTGCCTCACACATGGCAAACATTTAAATATTAGTCAGTCCGTGTTCTTCATATAAGTGATTTGAGCAGCTAAGGCAGAAAATTTGCCAATTGAAAAAGATTATTTATGTTTAGAATAAGATAAAAGAACCAGATAATTTTATTTGGGTCTTTTCGGGCTCTGCCTTCAACCATTAACTTTGACTTTGAATTATTTAGCTTTTACAATATGGAGTTTAAAATATGAAACAACTTAAAATTGATGATATAACAGGACATTGTTTGGGATAGAGAAAGTGGAGAAAGTTTGTTTTACTTTGGTTACATGAACAGAGTTTGTCTCCCCAGAGGCCGGATGAGGAGGCAGAGAAGACACGTCTGTCTTTGCTGGAGGACAAACTGACAGATTCACTCAGCCTGCTGCTGCAGCTCCGTAATAAGGTACCTAAACCAACGGCCGCTGACCTGGGGGGGTGAGATGCAGGGGAGGATTTACCGTGGTGTCCACCATATTGGATCAGTCCATTTGCTGCACATGTTCAGAAAGGTCCAAACAGACAGCAGCAAACCATTTGAAAACAAACCATGCAAAGAGCAGTGTTGCCAACTTAGCGCTTTAGTCGCCTTTAATGTGGAGGTTAGAAAAGTGAGGTTTTTATGTCATACAATTTTAAGCCTGTTTTTACAGAGAAAAATGTAAATAATCTTCAGTATGGAGCAGATGGGATGAAAACACACAGTCCCACCGGGGGAGACGTGGCTCTCACACAGAGCCATCTGATGTTTGACCTGCTGGTACACTTCCTGTCTCTTCCCACCGTGTCTCTGCACATCAGAGTCTTTGAGTGCTTCTCAGTTGAAACAGATAAAACAAGAATGATGCTAAACTTTTAGTCAGTGTGCAGAAAGCTGTTCTGATTGATCAGCCTCCTCCATCTTTCTTTAGAATGTGTCACGAAGGGTCCTGGAGAAGATGGTGTTGGACAGCCTTGACGTGTGCCGTAGAGGAGAAGCTGGTAGTCTGCTCTGTCCTACATTTTCTTCATGCTCTGGCTTTGCATCTTTATTAAACCGTTTTGTTTTGCTATGTAGCTCCACCTCCTCACATGCAGGCCGCTGACGCCCTCAGCATCCACCTGACCTCCAGTGACCTTACCAAAAGCAGAGGGCCGGAGGACAGGGGAGAAGGCCACAGTGGGAAGAAACATCTGCTTCCACCTTCAGGGTGTCAAACTAGCAACTCTCTGCTCATCTCTGGTTAAAAAGCTCATCTCTGTTACAGCTGTTTAAGTAAATCCATTATTAGCTGTTTTACCATTTACCCTTTGATATACACATTTATTTAATTTAAATTGTACTTCCATTTAGCACTTGTGTGGACCTATAAAAAAATAATGTGTATTGTTGTCTAGTCATGTTTTGGGTTGCAGAACATCAGAATAACCTACCTCAATAATTTGCTGCTCAGTCAATAAAAGCATCTTTTCATAAAAGTGTGTTGAAATGTTTCTGATGGATCAAAGTCAGACTTCAGGTAGTAGATATTTGTTTTTATGTTTATTGACCATTTCGTAAAGGAAAGCTCTGTGTTTCCAGCTTGAGGCTTTCTCTCTCTGCGGTTCTCATCCTGAGAAGAGATCAGTTTGGACAAACTCTTTAAATAACACCTCATCATTTATATGTATTAAACCAGGAGATATGATGACAGATTTAGGCAGAAATTGTAGATCGGAGAAAACAAAACATGCAAAGAGCAGTGTTGCTAACTTAGCGCTTTAGTCGCTATATTTAGCCACTTTTCAGACCCCTCTAGAACTTTGATTTCTAAAAAGCTCCTAGCGCCAAATCTAGAGACTTTTTTCTGCTACTGGAGACTTTGGAGACAACATCTAAAAGCCGCGAACTCGGCTCGCCAGAGCCAGTAGATTGGTAAC